TTTATATATAAATCCGTGTCCGGCATCTGACCGTGGCACCTCGGGAGCTATATCCAGTCCTGTGTCTGCCCTGAACTGTCCCTTCTCCACAACACTCTTGTCCTTGGGCCTCACAGAAAGCACAAAGCTCCACTGCTCTGGGGCTGGTGCATGGAGAGGAGTGCAGGGACTTGGTGGGCAGAGGAGGAGGAAGGGGATCCGAGGAAAACCATAACCCACACTTCCAACAAACCCTCGACCACCTGGGGGAATCACTGGCCCCTTGGGGACCACATCTCAGCCCTTGCCCCATATAAACAAAAGGTCTAGTACCCACCCAAATCTCCTACAAGTAGGTAGGAAGTGGAGTGAGACTGTAGGGAAGAGAAGGGCTCTTAAGCTAGAGCAAACAAGAAACCACTGTTCTTCTGAAGGCAAGCACAGGACTGGAGGTGGGTTGCACACAATGCTCCCTTCTGTTATCTGAGGAAGTCACCTTCTTGTCTTCGGTCACCCCAAACTCAGGATGAGGAGGCAATGGAGAGGTTAAGTGCCCTTAACAGGCAAGTTCTGTGAGGTCACAGCAAACCCTTCCTGTGAGCACCAGCCCCCAATTTTGAAAAGCTCTTCTCAGGAGGGGGCCTCTGACGACACTATCAGCTCAGTATTCCTTTGCCAATCAGAGGGCTGATGTTCCTTTTGACGAGTTGAGAATAAAGATGGTCTGCAGTGAAGGAGAGCTGTGCCTGAGGCCCAAGAAAACAGAACTGAGGCATGTCCAGGGAGAGGACTTTGGCCACCAAGAGAGGTTGGAGAAAGAAGGGACCAGAACTCTTCTCTTCCCAGTGGATGGCAGTATGGACCTCTTAAGAGCTGGCCAGGTGTTCCACCTGGATGGTGCTGGTGGTGACAGTGAGGCAGATGTCCTTATGGTGCTCCGATGTCTTATAGGGGGTGAGGTCAAAGGAGCACTGGGGTGGAGGGTTGGGGTTGCTATCCCCACCACCCCCACCCTGGGGAGCTGTTCCAGGGGACTGGAAATGCGGTGGCTGTGGCTGCTGTTGCTGCTGTGATGCCTGGGAGGCTTGGGCCTGAGCTTGGGCTTGGGCTTGGGCCTGAGCTTGGGCTTGGGCTTGGGCTTGGGCTTGGGCCTGGGCCTGGGCCTGGGCCACTGCTGCTGCTGCCGCTGCTGCCTGTACTTGTTGCTGGAGATCAGGAGGGTTGTGTTTGCGCATATGTTTCATAAGGTACGTTTCCTGAGGAAATGGTAAAAAGAAGTTGAAGGGTGAAAGGAAGAGATTACTGTATTCAGCATCCTGGACTCTTACCCTGTCAAGTGGATAATATTTATACAGAGATAGTCCTGAGTTGGAAGGAAGCAGAACTGAAGTAGCCCTTTGAGGTTCTGTTCTGTAGAAAAGTAGGTATCCGATTTAGAGCAGACTGTGGACATTCGATGGCAGAAGGAAAAGATGCCATTTTATTTTTCTCAGAAATATCTGAAGGAAAAAGCCTGAGTTCAATCCCCGGTTCCGCAAAAAAAAAAAAAAAAAGAAAAAGAATCTGAAGCCTAATGGAAAATACCTGAAATATTTTGGCTCTTGAACTCAGGCCCTTGCGCTTGTCAGGGAAGCGCTTATTCCACTGAGCCATCTCCCTGGCCCTTTTTCTTTTTTTCCTGAAATCTTTCTTCCCAAACATTTCAAGTGGCTTTATTTTGCCTCATGTTGAAGTAAAATGAAGAATCTGAGCTGGGTGTGTTGATGCACACACCTGTAATCCCAGCACTCATGAGGCTGAGGCAGAAAGACTAAAGTGAGTTCAAGGCCAGCCTGAACTACACAGTGAGACCCTGTCTCAAAAATATTAAAAAAAAAGAAAGAAAGAAAACCTGGGCCTGCAGTGCTGTCCCCACTCCCGGGGTACACTGAGACTACAATTGAGACTGGGCGTGGTGGCACGTGCCTATAACCCCAGCACTTGGGAGGCTGTAAACAGGAGAATCACTGAGTCTGATCTAGTAGTGAGACCCTGAGCGCCCTGTAGACCATTCCCTGCAATACAGGAAGAATATAAAATAAAAAAAGAATCCATATCACTCACTCTAAGTTAAGTGGACCAGGCATCTCCTAAACCCCTCAGACGTAGGCCTCATTATTTCTCTTCTGAACCTCATTTGTTGTAACAGATCTTTATCCAGAGGAAGGGGCACAGGAGACTGCTGTCTTACCAGTACTATGCGGAAGAAATGAAACACTCACCGATGTGTATGCCCGACTACAGATCGTGCACGTATACACCTTGGCATGCTTCACCGTGTGCGTAGATAAGTGCACCTCCAGTGAGGCTGCATCTGTGTACGCCCGATGACAGTTGTGGCACTTGAAGGGTTTATCTTTGTTATGCTGCCGTCTGTGGGACTGAGAAAATCAGGAGAAAGCAAGTTGAGTGTGGGACACTCTCCCCTTCACTCTCCCTGACCTTTTGGAGGGCCTGAGCTAAGTGTCAGGTCTCCCAGCCTGCTTTAAAAGGCAGCAGAAATGGCCTCCATGGAACTTGGGGAGCTACAGGGCAGGAAGGTGGAACAGGAACAGCACACCTCATGTAGCACATACCTACCAGGTTTCTGAAAGAAGTGAACTTAAACCTGCTGCCCTTATACAGAGACAGGTCTCAAAGTAAGGCACAGGGATCGCTACAGAACACTAGGAGCCTTTCAAGAGCCCACAAGATTGAAACTCATTATTAGCCTCCTAGAACCTCCTAACACTGAGCTAATATCCCTAATCTCTTTAACATTTTGAGACAAGATCTTGTTACAGGTGTTTGCCAGCATACAGCTGTATGTAAGGTACGACTGAAAAATATGGTAAATTTTTTATTAAAAAGAGGGGGCCAGGGAGATGGCTCAGTAGTGCTTGCCTGGCAAGCACATAGGCCCGAGTTCAATCCCTGGTTCCGACAAAAAACAAAAACAAAAAAACAAACAAAAAAAAGTTATTACAGGGCCGAGGAGATAGCTCAGTAGAATAAGTGCTTGCCTGGCAAGAGCAGGGTCCTGAGTTCAATCCCTGATACCGAAAAAAAAAAAAAAAAAAAAAAAATTATGGGCCAGACATGGTGGTGTACACCTGTAATCACAGCAACTGGGAGGCTGAGGCAGGAAAATTACTGTGAGTTTGAGTCCAGCCTGTGCTACACAGTGAGTTCAAGTTATTATAGTTTAAAAAAAAAAGACAAAAAGGATTTTCAGAGGAATTATGGGCAGTGTACTTTTATTGCAATTAAAATTTTAAAATTTCAGTATTTCAATCACACCTCATACATTTTGTTTGTTTGTTTGTTTTGTTTTTTGGCGGAACCAGGGATTGAACTCAGGCCCTTGCGCTTGACAGGAAAGAACTTATTCCACTGAGTCATCTCCCTGGCCCTACACCTCATACATTTTTAGTAGTATTAAGCACTGAACCCAAAACACTAACTGTGCGCTACATCCCCAATCCTTTATGCTATTCTTTTTTAAAAGATTACTAAGTACTTTTTAGTGTCTCAGTTTCACAATACCTACATAGACAGCTATGATCCACACAGCCCAAATTGGGCACCTCAGTAACTTTTATGAGGATACCTATGAGGGCTGGAGAGATAGCTCAGTGGCATAAGCACCTGCCTGGCAAGCACAAGGTCCTGAGTTCAATACCTGATACCTCAAAAAAGGAAGGGGAAAAAAAAAAAAAGGATACCTATGAGAAGCACTATGCTAGTCACAGGCCTGACTCCAAGCCTCAGACTTTAGTCTTGGAGGAAGGTGAAACATTTACCTGCAGATTGGAGAGTTGTGTGAAGGCTTTTTCACAGCCCGGGTGTGCACATTTATATGGTCTATCACCAGTGTGGATTCTGCACAGGATGAGAGAAGAGACACAGAATGGGTGTCAGCAAGGCCACTTGGGGACTTGCGCAGGCCTCCACAAGGCCTTCCAGCTGTCCCAGAAGCAGTTCATCAGGAGGTTCCATCTAGCTCCTCTCTGACCTGAACAGTTTCTCGCACTTGACTTGACTGCTGTTGTATGGCTCAGCTCAAGGCAAGCACCTGCGGCTGAGGGAGGAAGGCTTAAGGCTTCAGCATCCAGGGACTGGAAGGCCATGATTCGGCATGCATGCCCACACCTACAATAATTATCCTAGTAAACATTTAGCAATGTAAGATATACCTGATCTTGGTCAAAAGAGCAAGAAGTGATTCAGAAAAACAAAGTAAACACAATAGCAAGGAAAAACAAAAACACAACATTCTTCCCTCTCTCAACAGGCAGAAACTATCCCTTGGTCTAGAGTGCCACTTCCAGAAAAGGCTGTGGTAGCAAAGAAAAGCAGAGTTATGTTGACTGCACACAGTAGCAGGGATATTAACGAGAAATCATGGAGATCTGACAAGCTGTTCCCAGTTGATCCTTCTCACAGCTTCACATCACCTGATTAGTACCAATTTGACGTCTTCCCCTAACCCTCTGCTGAGACGAGCCCAAGACTGGAGAGCACACCAATACTTGCTCTTCATCATGGAGCTCAGAACCACCTCCTCTGGACCTCCATTATAACCTCTGCTTTGTGAACAAAGTCTGACCACTCTTCTCCAAGAAAGACATCTGATCCATTTTAACTTGAAAATGTCGTGTCCACATGAGGTGGGGTGAGATGCCTCTAGACTCCAGTTCAACTTGAGCTAGCACACCACAGGAGACCATAAGCTCTTCTAGTTGGCAGGCTCCCTACTTCCTGGCCACTTCAGGTTCATGCGATGAATGTGGGCATCCTTATGAAGTCGCAGCTTTTCCATCTTCTGCCTGCTGATTCTCTGTGATATTTAGCATGTCTTTTGTTCTGATCTTGACTTCTGGCATCCCTTGGAACCTTGCTTGTTGCTGTGTGTGTCACCAGCCTGGTGCCAGCTAGTATCTCCTATTCATAACTGGTGCTCTACAAATGAGAGGCATGGCCTTCTCCAATGAAGTGCCTCTGCTTTGGCACCAAAGAGGAAATCTTGCAAGACATGTGCATGGATATTTTCATGGAGGGAAACAAGACAAAGAAAAGTTCTGGCTTCAGGTGTCTCTGCCTCCCTGGTCAGGAACATCACACAGAGTATTTCCTGGAGGTAACTCTTGTCCCAGAAAGGCTCACTTCACCACTTGCGTCTCCACTGTAGATACTTGGTCATCTTTCTCTCCGATGTCAGCCATGGTCTCCTCCAGCCAGGCCTCTCCCCCGCCCCCCGCATGCGGGCTGTTGTGTGTGTCCGGGCTGGGGGTAGGGAGGGCATGCCAGCGGGGCGGGTCAGTAGCCCGCCACTCTCCCTTACCGTGTGTGCTGCTGGAGGTGGGAGAGCTGGCGGAAGGCCTTCTGGCAGTAGGAACAGTTGTAGGGCTTGGCCCCCGAGTGGATACGAAGATGCTGGGCCAGGTAAGAGGTGTTGGCGAAGGTCTTGGAGCAGTGTGGGCACTTGTGAGGCTTGATGGTCTCCGTGTGCATCTTGGAGTGGATCCTGCCGGAGGAGAGGGAAGGGGGGAGGAGGGAGCATTTCGACACCACGGGCTCTGCTCTTTGCTGGGTGAAATGATGTTGCTTGGCAGATGACAGCGCCCCCTCCTCCCTCCTCCCAAACACGCTCCGGCCTGGAGAGGCTAATGAAGAGGACACCCAGGTCTAGGTTGTTGCTGATGGTTAAGTCGATGGCTAGAATGGCAGTGAGATGATGAAGAGCTGCGACCCATGGCTTCTGGTAGCATTAAATTTATCCAGTCTTGTCAACCCTTGGCTTTTTCCTAAGGTCACACACTCACCACAGATACCCTGCTTCCAAATAGTAATTTGAACATGAACCAATACCGCCTGTTCCCCACAGACCTGAAGTTGAATGCACACTTTGGTTCTGAACTGAAGCATATAGTAAAATCAGGGCCTGCTCTGCAGAAGACTTCCAAACAGAGAGAAACCACAAATTGTTCCAGAATTTGGAATTGTAGACCACAGTTTTCAAGCCCACCTCCCAGGATATAGTTCATTTATTTATTTTTTTTTACAAACAATAACAGAAGAGAATTGAGGATTCCAAAGGGCAAAAATGAAAGGCAAAAAAGAATACATGTGGAGAGAGGAGTTGGTATAGGCAATGTGGCCTTGGGGAGGGGATCACAGCTGATAGTGGGCAGAACCGAGAGCAGCCTTACCGGGTGTGCTGCTGAAGGTGGGAGAGCTGGCGGAAGGACTTCTCACAGAAGTTACAACTGTAGGGCTTGGCCCCTGAGTGGATACGGATGTGCTGGGCCAGATAGGAGCTATTGGCGAAGGTCTTGGAACAGTGTGGGCACTTGTGGGGCTTGGTCTCGGTGTGTGACTTGGAGTGGATCTGCATCTCCGACTTTGAGTAGAATGTCAGGGAGCACATCCGGCACCTGGGCCAAGTTAGGCAGCAGTCAGAACCCTTTCAATCAGGAGCATTTCTACACCCTCCCTCCACTTTCCAGAGAAGTCACTATCTGAACTGTCTCCTAACTATACCGTGCCCTTGAGGATAGTTCATTATTCATCTTTAGAGCCTAAGCTTCTAACATAGTTCCTTTTTTTTTTTTTTTGGCGGAACCAGGGATTGAACTCAGGCCCTTGCGCTTGCCAGGGAAGCGCTTATTCCACTGAGCCATCTCCCCAGCCCAGATTCTCCCATAGTTCCTAGCACATTATAAATAATCAACATTGGTTGAATGACTTGTTTCCCCAAGGGAACAACAACAAGAATTCAACCTTGATAAGGCAAAAAAATATGGGGATGTAGGTGGCTATAGCTTTTACTGGGCCAGAAATATCTGTCTTGACTCCAGCCTTTAAAAACTCCTTTCTCAGCCATACATGGTGGGGCAAGCCTATAATCCCAGCACTTGGGAGGCTGAGGAAGGTGGACTGTTGGGAGTTCAAGACCAGCCTGGGCTACAAAGTGAGCTCAAGTCCAGCCTGAGCAGCATAGCAAGACCGTCTCAAAAAGACAAAAACGACAACAAAAAGAACCCACAGAACAAAAAAATCATTCTCCAATTTCTCAATGTACAGCCCTTAAGAGCATGATGAAGTATTAGATTCTCTCTTATCACTAGAGGTTTTTCCTACTTTTGGTGATGACTCCTAGAAAGATGGAGACAGAGAAGTCTCAGAATTATCTAGAAGGGCTTTTCTAAACCATCTGTACCTGGCCTCTACCCTACTACTACTATTTCATCAATCACCAAGCCCAATCTCCCCGGCCTCCATAAGCCAAGGCAGATGGCAGTATACTGTCCCATCATGTCTTTTGGAGAAAAGGTTTGCTAGACAATGAACTTCCAGGCCCAAATTCTCTTTCCTAGCACATGAAGCCAATGTCAGCACTACAAGATGGCATCAATAGTACCCAATGGATTTCATTCATAACTTGGGTTGGTGACTCTTCTTCCTGTTCTGACATTGTCCAACAATATCAGACAAGGAAGCCTCTGTACAAGCAAAGTCATGGGTCTTCAGGCTTTTTTGGGTAAAGCTATTTACATGTGAGCTAGAACCATGTCATGTCCATCAACAACTCACCATTTTACAATGTGGGCCAGGTAAAAAGGGGAGCAGCCTGACCAAGGCGACTATAGCAAGTGCCTCTTTTCAAGTGCCTCGAGGAGGGACTTGCAGAGATATGCTATTGATAATTTCTCTGTGTGTCTGTGTTTTCAATGTCAGGAAAATTTTTTAAAGGATAACAGATGTAAAAACTAAAAAAGAAAACAATGAATTCCTCAGAGAAAAATGACATCATAATTAACTGGTTATGGCCCTATGTTAATGTTAAAATTCCCATCATTCGTGCCACTTCCCACCTCTCTAGTCACCTGATAACTCTGAAGGATTTTCTAAGTTCCATCCTGTTAAGAACTGGCTGATGTCTGAGCTACCCAGTTACTGCATGGGTAGAGGGCAGTTCTGTCTGTAGTCACAACACAGCCAATGGGAGTCTGGATAACTCACCTCTGCTGTGACAAAGTTACAAGCCAGCTCATTAACTGAGATCTGAGATCTTCCTGAGATCTCAACTTACAGGTTTATAACAGGGAGAAAGAACAATTTTCACCTTTCTGAAGGACCAGCTAAAGGTAGGTTAGTTAAGCTTTCCTCAGATATAGAATGACATTAATGCTAACAGCCTCAGTGTTAATGGAGAAGCTCATGTTACCAAATATTTCACTCTGACTGAGATTAACACCAGACCCCAGTGTCACTTGCAGGGGAACTATACAAAAGATATGGCACACTGGGCTGGTGAGATGGCTCAGTGGTCTAAAGCACCTACTTAGAACAAGTTTAGCAAAGCACAGGGACCACGGTTCAATCCCCCAGCACCACATGCCAGCCAGCCCTGCCCCCTGGTGGGCTGAGGTGGCCACACACACACACACACACACACACATAAATAAATAATTAAAAAAAATCTTAAAAAAAAAAATATGGCACAGATTTTTCAATGATTGCCAGAATCAAGTCAGAAGAAAAAGAATAGTGCTAGGGACTGAACCCAAGGCCTTGTACATGCTAGGCAAATGCTTTATCCATGAGCTGCACACACAGCTCTGACATCTTGATTTTAACTTAAATAAAATCTCACTGGGGTTGTTTATCAGGTGTTAAACATACACATGTGCCATTAACATGAAAGTTATTATAAAAAATAACTTTCATCATCAAATTTTCCAAATACAAGGGCTGGGGAGATGGGCTCAGTAGAATAAGTGCTTTCTTGGCAAGCGCAAGGGCCTGAGTTCAATCCCCAGTTCTGGGAAAAAAAAAAAAAAAATTCCAAATACACAAGAATCTGCAAAGCTTCTGTTAACTGACAATAGACTGGTAAATAAGGGAACAGTTTCCAAAGGTACCAAATATAAAAATGAAGTAACAAGAGTTGCCACTTCTTGTGCTTGATACTGTCAGACACTGGCTAGTACGTTATCTTTTTCATTTTTTTTTTCCTTCCTAAGATGGGGGGATCCTCGCTAGGTAGTTTGGGCTGGCCTTGAATTTGTGACAATTCTCCTGCTTCATCGTCCTGAATGCTGCAATTTCAGGTGTGTGCCACCATGCACAGCATTGGCCATTTCTCACAATGACCTGACAAGTTATTACCCTGCCTGTTTTACAGAAAGAAACACAAAGGCTCAGAAGGCAATTAGGAGGGTTATTCCCTACAGATCCATGAGGCAACCTAACACATGATCGTTGACATTAGAACTGCTGAAAGAGAGGCTAGAGTGATCATCCACCAGCTGACCATTACCATACAGGCTGAGCATCACTAATCCAAAAATTCACAATCTAAAATACTCCAAAAGTTTGTAACTGACATGACATCACAAGTAGAAAATTCTATACCTCACCTCATAAGACGGATGGTAATCAAAATGCAAGCTTACTAAAAGTACTACATAAAATTACCTTCAGACTACGTATAAGTGTACACAAAACAAATAAATTTTGTGTTTGGGCTCAAGCACCACCCCACTGAAATTTCCTTATGTGTGTGCAAATATTCAAGAATTTGAAAAAACTCCAAAACATTTCTTATCCCAAGCATTCAGAAAAGCAATACCCAACATTATTTCCAACTTTGGAATCCTATCAACTCAAATAAGAATAAAAGGCTTTTAATGCAGAGCACTGGATGATTGGAAAGAAATCTGCATCAAGAGAATTGTGGCAGGGGCTGGTGAGATGGCTCAGTGGTCTAAAGCACCTACTTAGAACAAGCTTGGCAGAGCACAGGGACTGCGGTTCAATCCTCCAGCACCACATGCCAGCCAGCCCCGCCCCCTGATGGGCTGAGCTGGCCACACACACACAAAATAAATAAATAAATAAATATAATTAAAAAAAAAAAAAGAAAGAAAGAAAAGAAATATATTAAAAAAAAAAAAAAAAGAGAATTGTGGCAATGGGCTGCTAGCAGGGGACAGAAAGCCAGCACCTTACATTTCTAGGTGACTTACTCCTGGGGCCCCGTTCACATCCAATACAGTACGAACACAGCCTTGGAGACATGTACAACAGTAGTCTTGGAAACAATGGACACTCTGAATTACTGTTCTGGGTTTTTTCCCCTAAGATGCTCAGGACAATTTTAGATTTTCTTTCAAAAACTTTCCCCAAGATATATGAGCATGTGACTGACCTGCCCACTGCATACTCTGACCAAAGAGTCAGAGATAAGTTGGCTAGCCCTGAATATCGCTCTCAATTGCCTGTACTTGCCAGTAGAGACAAACTCTATGACCCCTACAATGGAGATGGTGACCCACAGTGCAAGAGCAGTATTCTCAGTAATTAAAGACTCCTCTAGAACACTTAAGCTCCGAGTTTCTGAAGAACACTGTGTATAATCAGTCATCTTCTATTTCAGTTCCCTTTACTCATCCAAGTGTGGGGTCTTTTAAGAATTCCAAAAACACTAAGGGTGTGGAAAGTCCTATCAGGCCTCCTTCCAACTAGTCATATTCCTTTTCATACCATTTGGGAAGTCCAGGGATAACTGTCACATGGACTCAAAAGCCAAACAAAAACAGAACCTAGGAAAATAAGGGGCCGGAGAGATAGCTCAGAGGCATAAGCACCTAGCGGCAAACCCAAGGACCTGAGTTTGATCTGATCCCCAGCTCCACAAGCCATGTGGTCTTGCCCCAGAACCGGGCATGGTGGTACACACCTACATATAATCCCAGCACTCAGGAGGTTGAGCCAGGATCTCTGCGAGTGAGACCAGCCTGGGAGCTACAAAAAGTGAGCATAAGGCCAGCCCAAGAGACCCTCAAAAATAAATTTTAAAAAACCCCAGGAAAGATCAGAGGACCCTGACTTGTCAGAAGGGATGGGGAGTGGGTTACACAGCTTGGGGGCATCATGATCCTCCTGTTTTCAGCCTCCCCAGCACTGCAATTACAGGCATGCACCATGATACCCGGACTCAATGGCCAACTCAGTGTGCTTGGGGGCGGGGCCAGTACAGCATGTGGTGCCAGGCATGGAACCCCAGTCCCTATGCTTACGTAACAGCACATTTTATAGAGATGGTGCTCCATGGTTCTGTGACCTTACTTTAATCAAACACATACAATTCTAGATTTCTACACAATAAGCTTAAAAGGGATTTTTCATACTACAAATATATAAATCCCTTTAAATGAGTCAAACTTATCAGATACCTTTATAACATGACATGCTGTAAATACTTTCCAGGAATACTTATTAAGTGGGGTGCGGCCCTGTAACAATAAAGTTGCAGTAAACTCTTTATTATGACCTGGACTACTACTGCAACATTCATTATGTTCGGCACAGCAACAAAACCCTTGTTTTCATGTATAAATAGAGATTATTTAAACAATTATTATAGCTATTTGCTTCACTAAAGCTATATAATGCAAATAAAGCAAATGCTAAGTGATGGCAATTTTTCATCTTTCTGAAGTTCTCAACATTTCAAAGTTCATTTGATACATATACTCCTAACAAATGGGCGATATAAACAGGATTCTCCCTATTTTACAGATGAGGAAACTGAGGCCCAGAGAGGGGGAAAGGACTTGCCCAGGGTCACACAGCAAGTTCGTGGTGGAGCCGGGAACTGAATCCATGAGCCCAAGGCTCTGTCCATTTCCTGTGGCGCAGTTCCCTTCGCTCCTAAAATGGGAACAACATTGCCCATCTCGGTACTAAGGACAGATTCCATCTCCCAGCCATGCACATCTGTCCCTGTCTGCATCCAATCTGTGGGAATGGTTATTCCACTGTGTATACTGGGCCCAAACCCAAACCCACAAGGATCCCTGACAGCTCATAATGATTAAGATTTTAAGATTTTCAATCTGCCAAAGGGCAGGGCATTTACTTGTGTAATTATTTCTGCATAGTACCACATGCAAATGTGCAGAGAATGCCTTTTAGTAACAACTTAAGAGAAAGTAGAGGATCACAGTGACTTCCATGAATTAGAAAAGCAGTCATTTTATAAGCATATACTCCCAAAGGGGGAAGTATCTTATTCCTTTCACTTTTTAATGTAGATCTCTCCCATCATCCCAACCATGAAGGGTTAGGCAAGACTCCAGGCTCAATATGGTCCAAAAGCTGGTAGACTGCACACAGGCTAGGTTAAGTGCTTACCTTTCTTGGGAAAATGAGAATAGGAAACAAAGCAAAAAAAGAGTTACAGAGTCTCAAACTCAGTCTAAAAGCCTTATTATGAGACATTATCCTGTCACGTAAGTCAGTCATGGGGCCAGGGATATAGCTCAGCAGCACAAGCACCTGCCTGGCATGTGCAAGGTCCTAAGTTTGATTCCTGGTACCAAAACCAGTATCAGCTGTGGCCACTAACTACCAAAACCTTGGTTAAAAATGGAAAGGGGGGAGTTACACATAAGAGAAGTGATAGCAGTCCTGCCTTTCTGGCCTGCACTGGAACACCTGACATGCACATGTACGGCTCTGAGCTAGGAAGCTGTCTATGTGGAGCCTGGCTGGGATAAGACACAAAGATCACGGGGGAAGTGGAGACAGCAATCCTCACCCCATCCCACCTCTGGCTCTGATGCCTACCTGTAAGTCTTGCCGTCTTTCTGATGGTCATTGTCATCCTCAGGGGAGAGGACGTAAGGGTCACTCATCTCAGGAAGCCCTGATTCTAGCATCCGCTTCTTCTTGCGGCCCCGTGGGGGCTTAGGAGCCACAGTGCCACCTCCACCACCACCTCCACCTCCTTCCTCAGTGAGGGTGGATGCTACCTTCTTGGAGAGATCAGGGACCACCTGCAGGGCTTGTGAGCCAGGGGGAAGAGCTGAGACAATCATGGGAGCCGAAATGGGGAAGCTCTGAGCTGATGAGGCTGTGGTCACAAGAGAGCCTGAGGGGGATGTGATTACCAAACCAGGACCTAGGATTGGGAGAAAGAGACAGTGTCATGTTGTTCAGTTCTGATCCAAATTGTTTCAACTTATTTCCCCCCAGATAGCTGTCTAATTAACCCCTTGCCACCCCTCCCCATCCCACAATGCATAGGAAACCCCAAACCCTATAGAAAAATAATGATCTTAGGTCCTAACCCCTGTCCCCACCCCCCTGGTAACAATGAGATTTACCCCTTGATTGACTCCCTTCTCTTCTCCACCTCTGAGAACAGGAGACTCCTTGATTCAGAGAAGGAAAGAATGTCACCTCCTCAAAGGCAGGGACCGCATCTTCTACTTCTTTGTATCCATCCCCCACAAATCCTAGCACATTGCTAGGCACACAGTAGGCACTTAATAAAAATTTGATTGAGCAATCACACACACACCCCACACCCAGGTCCTCAGAGCCCTCCAGCCTGGGGTCCTGATCGTGGAAGATCAACACCTCAGATTGGAGAAGAGCAGAGGTGCTCACCAGCAGTCATCAGTCCCGTCGACGGCACCGGGACCACTGTGATATTCTGGGTGACAGATGCCTGACTGTGTGGGGTAAGCTGCTCTGACTTGGACTCTGCGTCCATGCTGATGCCTGAGGGCAGAGACACTGAGGCAGGCACTGTTAGCAAGGTGGGGTAGTGAGGTGGGGCCAGCCCACAGCCCTTCTCTGGCAACAGTTGATCCTTCATCTTGTTGATGAACATTGTGTTCTCAATCTAAAAGAGAGGAAAGAGAAGAAAGTTCTTCAGATTCACAGTCTGATTTTGCCTGTTCCTTAAGCACTTTTCAATCTTTCCTCCTTGGAGATCAAGGGATAATGATAGTCTAGATCTTTGCACTTCCACACAGAAGCCAAGACAGAAACTCTACTAAGCTCACAGGGACAGGCCTTGGTGATGGACTAGTGTCTGCCTTATGTCACTTCAGACTAGTCATCCGACCTGTTCTCTCTGTAAAGAAACTCCTCAGAGCTGAAAAGTAAAGGACAAAGGAAATAAACCCCACTTACCTGTCCTGAGACTGTGGGGATAGAAGGCCAGAAGTATGGGTTAGAATTGAAGTGAGATTCTTCCATTCTACCTGAAGAAAGAAAGGAAGAGCACATCACACGCAGGAAGAGGTCTGCAGAAACTCAGCCATGGAGAAGGGTGCTGAGGACTGTTGGTCTCTTCTTGGCACCTGACCATGCACCTAGGAATCAATGGTCAAGACAGCATCTAGCATGCCAGTGTCGTTAGAGCTCCTCAGCACTCTCTATCCACAAAAAGGCTACCTTAGTAACTGCTTGTGACAGAACTATACACGTCTCACAGAGCCACAGGTTTGACAAGCCCCAAAGAAACAGAAATGGTAGTGCTTTCCTTTGCTGACAAGAGAAATGAGGTCATGGGAGAAAGGGTATGTGCCCAAGGGCACATGAAACAAATCACCAACTGACCTGAAAATAGCCAGAATACCTATTCCCCCCTTTCCCATACTTCTTAAATCCATCCTCCTTGAAATACAAATTTCAAAGATTTCCAACCAAAATATTTAACTTCTATAGTACTTAAAAAGGTTTTAGGCTGAAACAGCAAACCCTGAAGTTAATAAGGAATGCAACTGATAGAAACCAGAACCAAAGTATTGTATCTCTCTCTCTCTCTTTTTTTTTTTTTTTTTTTTTTTTTGGTGGAACCGGTGATTGAACTCAGGCCCTTGTGCTTGCCAGGCAAGTGCTTATTCTACTGAGCCATCTCCCCGGCCCCTAAAGTATTGTATTAATACCAGGCTAATGTATGGGGACAACACCATATGGACCCTACCAAGGTCAAACAACATCCAAGGCATTTCACTGGATATGAGACATACGAGGGTGAGCAGTGGGAACCAAAAGCTACCTGTTTTGTTTTGTTTTTTGCTACCTGTTTAAAGAGCAGTTTTAGCACCAGTAGTGACCCTCTACATTCACACATAAGGGGTTTCAGAATAGTACTAGACTCTTGCTTTGTATTTCTCACTTTGCTTCTCAGTGTTCAATTCTTTTCCTGTATGTGGAGGATAATTAAAGTTAAATTTTTTTTTTTTTTTGGCTGGCCAGATAGGTCAGTGGATTAAAGTGCCTGCTTAGGCAGATTCAGGAGCCAGGGAGTTCAATTCATGGCCTGCTGTGCCAGTCCCCCTACCTCTGTGTGCTGAGGCAGCGATTGAGACTGGGTGTGGTGATGCATGTCTGTAATCCCAGTGCTTGGGAGGCTGAAAACAGGAGTATCACTATGAGTTCAATCTGTGTAGTGAGACCCTGTACTAAATACATTAAAACAATAAAAAATAAAGTTAAAATTTTCTAAGAAGCCAAGCATGGTAATCTCAGTACTCGGGAGGTAGAGGCAGGATAACTGCCATGAATCTGAGGTCACCTGGGCTACATTGTGAGTTCAAGGCCAGCTTAAATTATATAGTGAAATTATGTCTCCAAAACATTTTATAAGAATTCTGTAAGAACAAGAGAAGTAATCCCTTAGAATGACAAGAACAAGTTACAGAGCTTACAGAGTCCAGGCACCCTACCACTTCTTTTCACACTCTGATCTCGTCTCCTGTGAGACAGAATGGCAGGAAGCTGACCAAGAGTAGCTCCCCCCAATTTTGAACCAGGAAAGATCCAACTTCACACATGAGAAGACATGAGACTGGTGGAATGGAGGAGGAACTCCAGGAAATAAACATCACCACCACAAAATTGGCAAATGTGTAAGGAGTGGGATTTAATCATTGCACATGGTACACATGTATGGAATTATCACATTTGACCCAATAAGCACATACAATTAGTGTCAGTTAAAAAAATTACCATCCAGGGGCTGGGGAGGTAGCTCAGCAGTCTAAGCACTTGCTGGGCAAGTGCAAGGACTTGAGTTCAATCCCCAGTACTGCATGCCATGCTGGCCACTGAAACCAGGGATGGTGCTGCAGGCACTGGGGAGGCTGACACAGGAGGATTACTATGAGTCTAAGCTGTGCAGCGAGACCTTATACCAAATAAACAAAATAAGATTTTTTAAAAAGTTCTTTTTTTAAAAAAAATTACCAGCCAGGTAATGGTGGCCCAGGCCTGTAAAGCCCAGCGCCCTGGGAGGCTGAGGCAAGAAGATCACAAGTTCAAGTCTTGCCTGGCCAACTTAAAACAAGATTTACCAGGGCCATGTCTCAAAAAAGAAGAGGAGGGTACTGGAAATACAACTCCATATGAAGGGCCTGGGTTCCCCAGTACAGCAGCTGAACACAGAAAGGAAAAGTTACCATGCCACTACCAAGAACCGTCAGTTGCAAAGGCTTAGGTGGGAAAGGAAGCCTCTTGGCTCCAGGTGGCACCAACTCCACAGGGAACTCACTGGTGGCCAAGCCCAGAACCTAGAGGTGATGGAGACCACATGGACACAGAAAGTGAAAGATCTCAACAAAGGCATCAAAGCTAAGGACACTGCCGTTCCTTATCTTCAGGGGCTCATCGCATGCTGTGCTCTATGACCATTCTCAATTTTCATGTCTACAAATGGAAAGAACTCTACTTCTACTTTTTCTAAAAGTGGCAAAAGACAGGAATGTACCAAATCAGTGACTACAGCAGCTCACACAAACAAGGCTCTAGGGCTGGAGAGATAGCTTAGTGGTGTAAGTGCCTGCCTAGCAAGTGCAAAGTCCTGAGTTCAATCCCCAGTACCACAGAAAAAGAAAAAGAAAAGAAAGAAAAATTGGCACAAAACTTTCCTTTGGACCAGGAGGATGGCTCAGTAGAATAAGTGCTTCCCTGGCAAGCATAAGGACCTAAGTTTAATCCCCAGTTCCACAAAAGAAAAAAATTAAAAAAACAAGGCTCAAAATGAAAAAATGATCAACTGCAGGCAGCTGAGAAATGCAAGGGCTGGCCGCCGGATAGCTCAGCGGACTAAAGTGCCTGCTAGGGCAGAGCGCAGCAGCCAGGGGTTCGATTCCCAGCCTGCCATACAGGACCCACCCCGGGGTGCACTGAGACAGTGATTCAGACTGGGCATGGTGGCGCATGCCTGTAATCCCAGCACTTGGAAGGCTGAAAACAGGAGGATCACTACAAGTCTGATCTATGTAGGAGATCCTATAGACCCCATCCTAAATACATTAAAAACAAAAAACAATCAAAAAATGAGAGAGAGAAAGAGAAAGAGAGAGAGAGAGAGAGAGAGAAATGCAGACATCTGTGGTGCCCCCAGATGGGACTGGTTCCAGCATCGTACTCCAATATCGAAGTGCAGATGCTCAAGTTCTTTAATAAACAGTACAGTGTTTGAGGATAACCTAACCTACATGGGGAGTACATTTTCTAGACTACTTATACTACTGCAGTTTAAATGCTTTACAAGCAGTTGTTCTACTGAACTAATGTTTAGGGCATAATGACAAAAGACAAAATATCATGTTGAACGCAGACAGTGCCATCTTAGACCCAATGACGTACAGCAGTGCAAATCAGCCAGGACCCAACACTTTGGTGGATTCCACAAATACTGAGGCCCAACTGAGCACTAAGCTAGACAGTTCCCACACAGATGCTAATAATCTAGCCCTTTCAGCCTTCCACTGTTAAAAGGATTTCAATCTCATTGTGGCTTCAGGGGATCCAATCATGCCAAGCTTTGGGGGAGGCAGCAGTCAGGTTATTCTATGTTCATGTCTTCCCATGTCCCTGGATAACAGAATTTATCATCCAAAAAGCAATCAAGTATTGCTTGGGAAATAGCTCAGTGGCATAAATACCTGCCCGGCAAGCCAAGGTCATAAGTTCAATCCCTGGTACCAAAATGCAATCCAGTATAGAATGACTTCAATGTCAGTGGGTTCTACACAGAGATTCTGAAAATGATGCTAGAGGTTCAAACCTTTACACCACAATCTGTCAAATCTGCTAGCTGAGAGAAGTGAAATGGACAAGGGGTGAAAATGGTAACTGATGGAATGATTGGAGTAGAGAATTGGGCTGGCCAGCAATAGAAAAGTCTAATATATTATTTCTCCCTAAAAAAATGAAGTTGCTGAGTGTGGTGGCACACACCTGTGAAGTCCAGCCACACAGCCAGCCTAGGCTACACAGTTAGCTAAAGATCAACCTGAACTGTGCAGCGAGACCCTGTCTCAAAAAAAAAAAAAAAAAAAAAAAAAAGGTGGGGAGGGATGGTGGTAGCTCAGTGCAAAGCCCCTGGGTTCGATCACCAACACTACCAAAAACAAAACAAAAAAGTCAAGGAAGTAGGAGACGCGAGGTGATACATGCTTGCAGTCTCAGAACATGGCTGAGGCAGGGCAATCATGAGCTCAAGTCAGAGACACACCACAAGACCCTGCTAAAAAAAATTCAAGGAAGTAAATATATTATGGATGTGAGACTTCAGAGAGGAAATAAGAGCCTGGTAGAAGGATGTACACACAGAGCCAGGCACAGGCTACAAATCTGTGCTCCTACCACTCTGGAAGGCTGGCTGAGAGGCAAAAGGATCTCAAGTTCAAGTCTAGCCTGGGTAACTTAGCAAGACCCACCCTCAAAAGAAAACATTTTAAAATGGCAGAGAATGTAACAGTGCAAAGGCCCTTCTTGGGTTCAAACCCTAGTACCATCACCACCAAAAAAAGAGAAGGTACACATACAGAATTCCAGAACAAAGCCCTCCCTTTCCCAAAAGATCACATGCACTCATTATTGTCCTCTATGTGAAGCAGTTTCTGGGGTTTCTCTGGGTTTCTGAGAGGTTCCAAAGGCATCCTGGACCCCTCTAAAGTCTTTATAACAAGGGTAGACTAAGTGATGTGGCAGACAACATCCCCAGAACTGCCATAATCATTAACACTAGGAGCTTACTGTATTCAAGATAGCATTCAAAGCACTTTAGCGTCTCTTATATCATACAGTTCCATAATATCAATTCTGATACTCCCAGTATCAGAGATGGAACCCAAGACCTCCTGCGTGCTTGGCAAATGCCCCAACACTAAGCTCTAACCCTAGCCTTTTTGGTACCAGAAATCAAACTCATGATCTCACACTTTCAGGCTGTGTTACTGAGTTATATCCCTAGCCCTAGCCTTTTCATTTTCAGACAAGGTCTTGCTAAGTTGCCAGACTGGCTTTGAGCTTGGGATACTCCTGCCTTACCCTTTTTAAGTAGCTAGAATTACAGTACAGGTATACATCACTGCTCCCAATTCACCCTCCACCATTCTGTGAGGTATGCAATTGTAATCCCTGATCTTCCAGATATGGAAACTGAAGGTACAGAGTCAAGCAGTAAATAGAGTAGGGGTCTGAACCCAGGCATCAAACAGTGGGTTCAGGAAAGTTTCTGTAAGATTACAATGCTGAGATTAGAGGTGTGTGCCACCACACCATACAGCTAAATGAAGTTTACACTATGGTACTATAGCTTGATTCAGGAACTAAAATGAGAATCTTTCCAGGAATGAATTATACCTTTTTTCACATAGTTGTCAAAATTAAAGTTTTTGCCTATGACACCTTAAGTTAGATTACTAAGCAATAAAATATATCTTTTATAACATAACCCAAAACAAAATTAATTTTTAGTTTAGCTTTGTTTCCAGTATTGGAAGGAATAGAACCCAGGGCACACACTGAGCTACATCCCCAGCACCTTTTTTCTTTTTGGCTGTTTAGACAGGGTCTCCCAGTGCAGTTTACCTGGCCTTGACCACACTGCCTAGCTCAGACTAGCCTCAAATTTGCAAATCCTCCTGCCTCAGCCTCCAGTGCTGGGATTAGAGGTGTGTGTCACCACACCCAGCATTTTTTTTTTTTTTTTTTTTTTTTTGGATTTTTTGGTATTGGACCTTGCTCTTGCCAGGCAGGCCCAGAGCCACTGAGCTATATCCCCCTGGCAGCCCTTGGTTTTTTGAGACAAGGTCTCATGTAATTTGGGCTGTCCTTGAACTCTTTATGCAGCCCAGGCTGGCCATGAACTTGTAGAAATCTTCCTGCCTTCACATCCTGAATGCTGAGATTATAGGCATGTGCCACCACACCCAGCATCTGCAAGACCTACAAAAATTTTGAGACAAAGTCTGGTCAAACTGCTTGGGCTGGCCTTGAATTTTTAACCCTCCTGCCTCAGCCTCCCTATGTCATAGAATTACTGGGATGCACCATGCTGCCCGACTTAAAATTGAAGTTTTTATTAACAGCAATATGACACAGGTTCAACATCTTGTGATACCTCACTTGGCTACACAGACAATTCATTTTGAAATGAAGGAGTCTGAATAAGATTTCTAGAAGATAATAAATAAAAATCTCCCCTCAGCTTAATAGCTGAATAACCAGCCTATTGCTCAGCTATGGTTCTGAAGAGAACAAAATAGAAGATTACAACCATAGTGGGTCCTGGGACAAGAAAAGACCATACACATGCCTACAGGACTTCTGATCAAGTCAGCTTATATCTATGTATCCTTTCAAATGAAACTGTGGGAGAGCCAAAAGTGAACATGTTTGGGTTAGGGAACAGATGCCCTGGGCTAGCTCACTCACATCTCCATTCACTTTTCACTACCACTTACTCTGTCTTTCATGGAGAAAAATCTCACCAAAGTGTTACAAAATCCCAGAAGGCACATAGCAACAATCCCACCACCTAAAGTCATTTTTGACAGTTACAGCAATATACTAAAAAAAAAATTAAGCAGCAACCAGCTTGGAGATGCAGGCCTGTAATCCTGGCACCCTGGAAGGAAGAAACTGATCACAAGTGGAGCCCAACATGGGCAACAAATTGACTTAGCAAGACCCTGTCTGAAAAAACAAAAGAAGGGTTGCAGACATACCTCAGTGCCAACACCCTGGTTCAACCTCCAGCACTGTGTTAACAAAAACTAAACCAAAACAAAACAGGACTTGGTTTACCCTAGACTGGAAAGGAAGAGGAAGGCTTCTTTTATAGCCCCAAATAGCTGAAAAGAGAAATGCTGCCAGATTGAGAATCTGAGTTCTAATTTCAATTGTACTCCTGATTAAATCTCAAGTGTTGTTAATGTGAGGTTTACTATAAAGACGGAAGAGCACATCATTCATTCAAATTCTTCAGTTTTAAAAGAAACTGTGAGGGCCAGCCAGAAAGCTCAGCGAACAGGGCACAGTGGCCAGAGTTTGATCCCCAGTCTGCCATGCTGGCCCAACTCCCGGGGTGCACTGAGAAAGTGACTGAGACTGGGCATGGTGGCGCACACCTGTAATCCCAGCTCTTGGGAGACAACACAGGTGGATCACTACAAGTCTGATCTATGTAATGAGACCCTGGAGACCCTGAACTAAATACAAAAAAAAAAAAAAAAGAAAGAAAGAAAGAAATCTTGGAAATATTAGGGGAGTGAAGAGAGATATTAAGCGGTATCCCTGAAACTCATGGTAGTACATGAAGTCTTGCTGCTGAGCTCTTCATCTGACCACATTCTTTCATGATGCCACCAACCACTGAGGATTAGAGGTGTCATGGTCTCTTGTAAATGGTTTTAGCAAACATAGTGAAGATCACATCTTTCCCAATACTTACTACTGACTTTTTACTGCTGTTTTAGAAGTAAAGCATTCCCCACCCCAAGATATAACATTCCTTTAACACAAACCATCTTTAGAAAATCGTGGGGGCCAGGGATATAGTTCAGCAGCACAGTGCTTGCCTAGCAAGCATGAGGTCCTGAATTCAATTTCCAGTACAAAAAAAAAAAAAAAAAAATTCTGTGTGGCTTCCTGTAGAAAATCATGAAGGGAATCAGAGAAACACATCTACATGATGAGGACTGTTAGTAACAATTAGTGAAAATTACATAAAGACCACATAATTATAAAGGAACTATCCAAAGGTAACAGATGTTTAGCCTCCAGCTTAGTAATCATCTACAAGACACATTAACAAGAAAACGATGCAAACCCCCCCAAAAACAAAAAGAAAAAAATCAAATTCAAGTACAGAAAAACTTAAGACGTTCTACTGAAAGTTCAGAAGTATTAAGAAATCTTACAAATATTAGCTAAGGATGTGAAAGTGAAGAAACCATTATTTTCTCAGTAAGGAAACACTCTCAGGTTTTAAGGACATTCAAGAAAGTCCACTGCAATACTACTTGGGGCCTGCCTCCTGCCTCCTCCTCCTTCTCCTCCTCCTGCTGCTGTTGCTGACACTGCTGACTTAATTAAAATCTTTCAAGAATGAAGTAACACCAGCTTTTCCCCACTTTAAGCAGAAAGACCAGCAAACCACACACAGACCTTCGGCCCCCCCATGAGGCTAGCAGTCTTGACCAGCAACTTCTCCCTGGGCACTGACAGCATGTGGTATCACACACCCTGTGGGAAAGACATGCATCTTCCCCATCCTGCCCACTCCACTCTAAATGATGTATCTGAGAAAGGTGAGAAAAGAAAGGCTGCAGGTGTAGCTCAGTGACTAAATACATGATTAGCATGTCCTAAGTTTAATCCCCAGTACCAAAAATACACAAAATAAATGTTAAAACTACAATATGCATATAAATCTAGAAAAGAAATATGTAATATTTAATTCATTTAACTTAACAACTTGGTTCATAAACTTATGGAAATGTTATAAACTGGCATGGAATTAGTTCCTTTCAGGGGTGCTGAACTAAAACTCAGTTCTTTCTTTCTTTCTTTCTTTCTTTTCTTTCTTTCTTTCTTTCTTAAAAACAGGGTCTTGTACCCAGCATGGTGGTGCATGCCTATAATCCCAGCATTCAGGAGGCTGAGACAGGAGGGTTGCTTTGAGTTTGAGGCCAGCAAGGCAAGCCTGAACAACATAGTGAGAGACTCTGTCTCAAAAATTTAAAAAACACAGGATCTCACTTCATTGTTCAAATTGGTCTTGAACTGATAGAGATCCTCCTGCCTCAGCCTCCTAGAACTCTAGGATTAGAACCATGTACCACCACTCCCAGCCATCCCCAGTCTTTCACAATTGCTAAATTGTCCAGGCTGGGTATGAATTTTTAGACTCAGCCTCTCAGAGTGCTGGGATTATAGGTATGTGCCACAAGTGGCCTTAAACTGCTTCTTAGAAATACTTATTTCTAAGGTGATACATTCTCAACTCCACACATTGCCACTTCAAATACCTAAAGCTCTCATTATAATCACCAGGCCTCACACTGAATTCTCCCAGACTAACTCTGGAGTCCACCCCAAACAATTTTATTATCTTTGCTTCAAACCATCCAAGAAAAAATTTCCCCTGTGAAAGCTTCACCCTGATACACCAAATAACCCCAAGTCAGATTCTGTGATTAGTCAATAAATCTACTTCAGGGCCGGGGAGATGGCTCAGTAGAATAAAGGCTTCCTTGGCAAGCGCAAGGGTCTGAGTTCAATCCCCCGTTCAAAAAAAAAAAAAAATCTACTTCAAATACTCCACCAGTATTAAGGATAGAAACCTCACCCAAAACTGAGCTCTACTGTTCCAAATACAGGGAAACAATTTCATTAAGTTATGTCTTAAGGACTACGTTGGCAATTAAGGTCCTTATATCCGCAGAGCAGAACAAATTTCTCCCTTGGACACCACATAACCCTACTCAGTGGTCTGGTTTCCTCATTTCACATTTCATGCCTGCTGGGTACTAGTAGCAATGGAAGATGACAAGGTTACACTGTAAATTTTTTACACTGATACTTTTTAGGTACCCTGAAGAAATAATACAAAAAAACTAATCTTTCTCCCATAGCAAACACCATTATTGGTGTTTGATATTACTTAAAAATTCATGTCACATTGTCCCCAGAAATCCCCAATTAATTATGACCCCTCCTCCCCCCAAACCAAAGAACCCAGAATTGTCTTACCCTCTCTCTCTCTTCCTCCTGTCGTCTTATGCCTTCTCCTTTCCAGGGCTCCTGAACTTTCTGTAAACAAATTGTCCAGGTTACAGGAGCCAGTGAGGGTGCAGCCACCAAGGAACTGTAGAAAGCTCAAGAATTCCTTGACAGCCAGCAGTCAGTCTGAAAGACAGGCTGACTCCAAACCAACAACTCAAAGATGCAAGGATAAAAGGGAGTTTTGTGCTACCCCTATGTGGACACTAGGGAAATAAATGCAATTCCCAGAAACTAAGATGAACTATCAGCAGCATTTGGGTTCTCCTAGACTCAGACACTGATTCATCTCCCCTTCCTCGCCACAGGTACATGGGTCAGAGAGAACTAAAGTTGGAGGAGAGGAAGAGTCCCTACCCCTGAGAAGTGGCCTCAGAAGGCAAAGCTGAAGGCTGGGGGGATGCACCAGCCCTTGTGTCAGGCACAGTGCCAAGTTCAGGCCCAACTACTTCCTCTAGCCTCCCCCTACCTCTGCGAGGACTTCGTCCCCTGCCTACCAAGGCCCGGTGCCAACAACTACCTCCCTAGCCAGCACAGTGGGCTACCTATTGGAGATCAGAGCTGTTCCCCCCCAACCTTCGATCCCCTGAGACAGCTCGGAGGCGCTTTCTCCCGATGTCACCCGCCACTCTGTCCTCCAACACCTTTCCTTGGGACGTCCCTCCTAACCCCTCCAGGGAGCTGAACTCTGCCACCCACCAGACAGGCACCCGCCCCCTAAGCCCCCCCATTCCTCCCCATCGCCCGCTCCTCCACAGCCACTTCCGGTTCCGGGACGGACACTCACAGTCACACCGTGGACCCCCTCCCCCCAGGAAAAGGGGAGGGGGAAGAGCGGGGCGCTCGGCATGCGCCAGCTGCAGCGGCGCAAGACTCACCCGGCGGCAACGGCTGCGGCGGAGCCAGAGCCTCAGCCGGGGCGCGGGAGGGGCTAAGTGCGCTGGGGAAGGAGGGAGCCGAGTGAGGCGGGAGGGCCAAGAGGGGGAGAGCGCGCGGCGGGGCGCGCGGGCACGCACTCAGGCGCTAGACAGACCTACACATTCAGACGCGACGAGCGCGCGCGAGACACCCGCAGGGCGGGGGCGCGAGGCAGTGGGTGGTCCCCCGCCCTGCCGAACACTCACCCGGAAGTGCTGGAGCTCCCGGGAACCCCAATTCCTCCACGCCCCCTTATTCCCCCCCCCCGACTCCAAAGAGAGTCGCTGTGGAGAGAAGGCGGGAGAGCCGGAAGCGAGAAGGGGGGGGAGGGAGGGAAATAGCAACGGGGAGGGAGGAGACATTGAGGAAAGGAGGGAAGTGCAAAGACCCAGTCACTTCCGGGAGCGGCCAGAGCGCTTCCGGCGCTGTTAACGCTTCAGGATATTCGGGCGGAAGTCAGGACATATACGGGCGGAAGTAGCTTCTGCTTAAAAAGAGGGGGAGGGAAAAAAAAATCTTTAGATGGTGTAACGTCATAGCGGAAGTGAAAGGTTAGGTTAAATTGAACCTTCACAACTGCGATCCCGGCTTCCGGAAAAGGACTTCTGGGAAGTGGTAGGGTGGAAACGCTACAGGTTTATGCATTATGCATCAAGATGCGACAGAGGTATGGATTTTTAAAGATATGGGTCTTATTTTGTTTTCTCCCAGTAGAGTAGGTTTATGTGGAAAGTTACCGTTTTTTTCTTTTCCTGCGTCTCAAGGATGTCTCAATGCTTCTTCAGATATGCCAGAAAGGTTAAGGTAGTGTGAGTACTATAGTTGCCTGAGATCTCTACTTAGGTTGAGTACCTTCAAAAGTGCCTTAGGTTTTGTTGCCTTCACCCACCTCGCTGTCCCATTACCTCCCTTTACTTTTATGGGGGCTGGTAATTGGGGATCGAACCCATGGCCTTAGTGCTGAGCTACATCCCTAGCCTTTTTGTTATTTTTTGAGGCAGGGTCTAAGTCACTAGATTGCCCAGGGTGGGCTGAAACTTTATCACTCCTCCTGCTTCAGGTTCCTGCAGTACTACTGGGTTTCCACACTTATGCTACCACACCCAGCTAGACCGCCATTTATTAAGTGGCCTGCAATCGACTCTTTCAGAGATAAATTACTGTTCATTGTGGATACTTACCTTTCCTGATTAGTCCATCCATTTCTCTGAATACCCACAGCATTTAGTGTATACCTTTTAATACTATTTTAGCTAGTTCAAATGTGATTCTCCCCAATTTTGTCAGCACCTCAAAGAAACTCCTCAAATGTGAGGGTGACCTGGCTGTAACATGTCACCCCATTGATTGCCGGGGTTGATTTGGACAAACTGGCTAGGTGGGTGTCCACATCCTCCTCAACGCTCCATGTGTGTCCCTCCCCAAAGCTGCTCACTCGAAGAGAATGACCATCCCCAATAGAAAAGGAATGTTCCTCGGTCAAGGGTAGATAAGTAGCTGTGCTCCCCTTCTAGAACTGCCATAACCTGTCCCAAACAAGCTCTCAAAGAAAATGCGCCCATTGCATTGTTGAGTGCATAGAAAATGCCGAATAAATACTGTTTGAGTGAATGAATTCAGCCACAAGCTTGCACCTGACAGATGTGGCCAGAATCCTAGGCTCAGCTCTCTTGGCTCAGATTGATCGGAGGTTCTTTCCATTAGCAAAAGTCCTCCGTTTGAACATTTGAGTTGCACACATTTACAGATATGAACTGGACCTTACATACAACATCTATAGATGGGACAAATTGTGGAAATAGCTCACGTGTCTGCCGGACACTGTCACAGTTGTGCTGCTGTGTGCTTAATGTATGTATAGTTCAATGGTATACAGCAGTACAGCACTCATTCAGATCCCAGGATGTCTGGAAGAGGAAAAGCATGGTTCTTTGGAGGAGACTACTAGGAAGCACAAAGCAATAACCACAGAAACAAAAGGAAAAATAGTTTAGAAACTGAACCAGGTGAAAAGATGGTAGGCGTCACTTGTTCTTAAAATGTGAATTGTTCAAATATTGGCACAATTCTAAAGAATAAGGACAAGATCGTGGAACATGTGAAGTCCACTATGCTGATGAAAATAGCCAAAAAGTGCGGTACAGTGGTAGAGGCCATGGAGATAATTCTTAGTGTGTGGATGCAGGGTTAGCATCAGCCTCAAGTTCCACTCCGCTTAATGATTATTCAAGAAAAAACTAAAAGCCTGTTTGAAGACTTGAAAACAGGGTGCATCTTTTCTTGCCAGCCACTGGTGGTTTAATAGATTCAAGGTGGGCACCAGCCTTCAGAACAGAAAAGTAAGTGGTGAGGCTTCGAGTGCAGAGACCATAGCTGCCCAAGAATTTCCAGCAACACTTGGTAATGCTGAGAAAGAGCCTCTACTCTGGTATCACTGGGTCATTTTTTTCAAGGGGGTAGACAGAATTGAACCATCAGAAAACCTGTGTAAAGCCTGCCAGATAGCTCAGTGGATAAAAGCGCCTGCTTAAGCAGAGTGCAGCAGCCAGGGTTTGATCCCTTAATCTCCTGCATGCCCTGTCAGTGTTGCCCCCGCCACGCCCCGCCCCAGGCCCACTGAGATAGCAATTGAGACTGGGCATGGTGGTGGTGGTGCACTCACCTGTAATCCCAGCATTTGGGAGACTGAAAGCAGGAGGGTCATTAGGAATCTGATCTACAAGTGAGACCCTTAGACCCTATAGACCCTGTATTAAATACATAAAATAAATAAATAAAATTAAAAGGGCTGGGGAAATGGCTCAGTAGAATAAGTGCTTGCCTGGCAAGTGCAAGGGCCTGAGTTCAATCCCCAGTTCCATAAATAAAGAAATAAAACCTGGGGGCCACAGAGATGACTCAGTAGAATAAGTGCTTGCCTGGCAAGTGCAAGGGCCTGAGTTCAATCCCCAGTTCCATAAATAAATAAATAAATAAATAAATAAACCTGGGGGCCACGGAGATGGCTCAGTAGAATAAATGCTTGCCTGGCAAGTGCAAGGGCCTGAGTTCAATTCCCTGTTCTGCAAAAAAATAAAAACCTATGTCACCAACGTAGGTGGGGGACCAAATTCCATCTTCTGTGTCCTGTTGCTGATGATCCTTCAGCTTGACCATCTCTCATCTACCGTCTCAGGTACCCTCCCACTTGCAACCAGTAAAGCTTCTTGTCCATACCGCATAATCCTTAATATGCCACTATAGTGAACCACCATGTTAAGGTAACTGTTAAAGTAGTTTATTTACAGTTGTACTGTACTGCCTTTTAGAGGGAACTGTAAAACTAAAAAGTTTACACTATTTTTGTGTGTTTGGTTTTTTTATGCTTTACATTGTATATGTGTTGAAAGTGTGTAAGATTCATTTTGTCAGACTACAAATGAATCCTACTTAACAGTGTGCTCCTTGGGGTGTAGCTCAGTGGTAGAGCACTTGCCTAGCATGTACAAGGCCCTGAGTTCAATCCCCAGTACCATTAAAAAAGAATGTTCTCCCAGGATAGAACTTGTTTATAAGTTGAGGATGTACTATAATGCCTGGGGGGGTGGTGATACTAAGGATTGAACCCAGGGCCTTCACTATTTTTTTTTTTTTTTTTTTTGCACAGGGTCTAAGTGGCACAGGCTAGCTTCAAACTTGGTTTTGAGACAGAATCTTGCTTTGTAATTCAGGCTGGCCTTAAACTGTCACTCAGGTGATCTTCGTACTTCAGCTTCCCAAAGATGCAACTGGAGGCTTATGCCTTCACACCTGACTAGTTTTGTTTTTCTTTTTTATATATTTGGTGTAGGGTCTTACTACACAGCTCAGACTTATAGTGATCCTCATGTTTTCAGCCTCCCCAGCACTGGAATTACAGACTTGTGCCACCCTGCCGAGTCTCAGAGGCTGGCTCAGTGCAATCCAGGGCTGGGGCTGGTGCGGCATGTGGTGGTCCCTGCACTTGCCTAAGTAGGCACTTAGTCCACTGAGTTACCTCCCCAGCCTGGCCCTAGTTTGTAGCTTTTTAAAGTCTCAGCTGGGCATGGTGGTGCATACTTATAATCCTAGCATATAGGAGACTGAGACAGAAGGACAGCTGCAAGTTCAAGGCCAGCCTGGGCTACATAGAAGCAAAAAGAAAAAAAACAAAGTCTGCTTCTCTATTCACAATATTGGGCTAGCACTCAATGTGAGTGGCTATGTAGCAATAGATGGCAGGATAAAGAACTTAAAGGTAGGGCTGGTGAAATAGCTCAACAGACTTAAGCACCTGCTTAGGCAAGCGCAAGGACTGGGGCTTGATCCAGCACTACTTGCTGCACCCTCCCCCCCCACTCCCTAGGACACTGAGCCAGCTTCAGACTGGGCGTGGTGGCACACACCTGTAATCCCAGTGCTGGGAAGGCTGAAAACAGGAGGATCACTGGATCACTACAAGTTTGAGCTGCACTGTGAGACTCTATACCAAATACATTTATTTATTTTATTTATTTTTTTGCGGAACCAGGGATTGAACTCAGGCCCTTGCCCTTGCCAGGGAAGCACTTATTCTACTGAGCCATCTCCCTGGCCCCACCAAATATATTTATAAAAAAGAACTTTTTTTTTTTTTTTTTGGTGGAACCAGGGATTGAACTCAGGCCCTTGTGCTTGCCAGGGAAGCACTTATTCTACTGAGCCATCTCCCTGGCCCCCAAAAAGAACTTTTTTTTTTTTAGCAATTTTTTTTTTATTTATTTGAGAGAGAGAGTGTGTGTGGTGTGTGTGTGGCCAGCTCAGCCCACCAGGGGGCGGGGCTGGCTGGCATGTGGTGCTGGGGGATTGAACCGCGGTCCCTGATGCTTTGCCAAGCTAGTTCCAAGTAGGTGCTTTAGACCACTGAGCCATCTCTCCAGCCCCAAAGAACTTTTTTTTATAAAGGGGAGACGACTCAGTGGAATAAGTGCTTCCCTGGCAAGCTCAAGGGCCTGAGTTCAATCCCCGGTTCCTAAAAAAAAAAAAGAACTTAAAAGATTTGGATGTGGCATGCATGTAATCCCATCTTTGGGAGGCTAAGGCAGGAAGATCACCTGAGTTTGAAGCCAGCCTGGGCTACATAGTGAGTTCAAGGTCAGTTTGAACTACAAGAGTGAGAGCCTGTCTCCAAAAAAAAAAAAAAAAAAAAAAGTTTAAATATGACTTACCTAGTTATTGACTGATTTGAGAAATAGAAACCTTAACTCTGGGCAAAAGTATAGAAAAGTGGAAGCAGGCATAGTGGTACACACCCAGCAATTCCAGCACTTGGAAAAGTGGAGGCAAAACAGCCATCACTGTAAGTTGTAGTTCTGTGTATATTAACTGGCCACCTCCTGTCGACCCTGCTTCTGCCCTTGAAGTAAGAAGCAGATTTTATGGTACATGCCTATAATTTGAGGAAAATTGAGGTAGAAGAAATGAAAGTTCAAAGCCAGGTTTAGGGCAACCTTGTCTTCAATTAAAGGAAGTTGGAGCTGTAGCTCAGACAAAGACCTAGGCTCAATATCACATACCACCCCAAAAAGAGAAAAGCAAGTTGTAAGTGCTCTGAACTCTAAGCAAAGCTGAATTTGACAGCAGGACATGTGGGGCATGGTGGGGGGGGGTGCACTAGCAATAGTGGGGGTTCTGCAGCTGGCACACTTTCCATCTGGAATCACTTCTACACCCCCAGCTTCACCTGCGATCCCTCCTCCAGGGGACTTCCCCATTCCCTGGTTTGGTGTATGCCACAATGGCAGGCCTTCTGGAAGCTGCTTTGGGAGCCTGGCTGAGTCACTTGATGCGGCCCAGGAGGTAGAGAAAGCATGGTGCCTGAAGTGCAGCCTCCAAAACTTCAGTTGTGAGTGCCTCTTGCTGCCACTGTTTAGCTCCTAGCTGGGGACTGTTCTCTTGCAGCTTTTTGAGGACCTCCCATGGCCCATGATTTATTTCAACTCCAGGAGAAGAAAAAGTTAGGTTCTATCAAAATGTAGAACCATAGTCCCAGCACTTGGGAGAGGCTGAGGCAGGATCACTGTGTGTTTGCGGCCAGTTGGGGTTCCTAAGTGAATCAAGGCCAGCCTGCCCTACATAGCAAGACATTGTTTCAAGGAGGAAAAAAAAAAAAAATTTAATAAAAAAAGTAAAATGGGGGCTGGTGAGATGGCTCAGTGGTCTAAAGCACCTACTTAGAACAAGCTTAGCAAAGCACATGAACCAGGTTCAATCCCCCAGCACCACATGCCAGCCAGCCCCGCCCCCTGGTGGGCTGAACTGGCCACACACACACACACACACACACACACACACACAAATAATTTAAAAAAAAAAAAAGTAAAATGTACCAGAATTTTTTTTCAAATGCCAAAACTAAGTAAGTTAGGTTCTGTTCCCCAGGGCCTCTAGCTTAGCATTAGCATGCCAGTGTGGCTTACTCTGTGATAACTACTTTAGGACGGTGGTGGTGGCTAGCAGACCTATGACTGACACCCATGCCATGGCGTGTGTTTTTATCACTGAAAGCTCTAAAAGATTCACCATCATGCACTAGGACCCAGAGATCCAGGACTCTTCTCTGCCCTTCCAGCCATCTGACTTTCCCCAGGAATTAGGGGCACTTAGGCAGAGGGGAGAATCTCCAGTGTCTTGGTGTATTTTAATTTATTTAAATTTAGAGAAACAGCGGCCAATCAGGCAGTAATTAATTCCTTCTTCATTAGGGGCTTTCATGTGTGCCTTGTGCATATGGATGAGCCACAGGGTCACGCTGTCCCTCTGAAGAGACTTCGCTGAAGGTGAGCTCAGCGAGTGCTCCAGCACTAGAGCTGCTCCCCATTCTGTGCCCGTGCTGCTCTCCTCCTATGAGCACCCCTCCCCCCAAGGACTGACTAGATCACTGTGGGAAAGCAGGAAAGGTTAAGAGGCTTGTCTCACACCCTCCCATCCCCAGCGCAGCCCATCAGCACCTGTTCTCTCCTCCAGCAGCTGCCTGCTGGGATCTCTCCAACCCTGAAATTGATGCAGCCCTCCTAAGAAAGCGGGATTGCCTGGCCCCTCTGCTTCTAGTTGGCTCATCACCCCTGGACCTTGCCTGATTCTTTTCTCTGTAGCAATCTGATGCCTCAAACACACACTGGTCCAGTTACAAAAAGCAGACTGCGTCCTCCCCATGCACACCATTGCGCAGGCACAGCTGCAGCATACAGTGGGACCCCACTACCTGAAGCACACACTCACCCAGTCCTCACACAGACCAAGTCCTTATTGTAGGTTACAGATAAACACGTGGGGAGAGGGACAGTCTCAGCCACCGCACTACTCTCCAGCATACCACACTCTCCCCTATCCTCCCTGGGGCTACCAGGTTTCCAGGGAGCAGGTGGGGCACCAGGGGAGGGCGGGGAGTGGGACCAGGCTTGTTACTATAGCAACAGTCTAGCAACAGCTGAGGAGCCGATGTGTGGGTTTTCCTAGAACTGTTCTAAGAGCCAGACCTAAAATGGGGCCTCAGAGGTGACTGATCCCAGTTGGGCAGCCTGCCTTCCCCCAGCTACCCAATTCCACCTGCACATCCCAGGAGAGCCTCTGCCTCAGAGGGGGTAGAGTGGGGTGCGCTAATGGGCTAATAACCACAGGGCTGCTAATGTCACATGGCTGGAGGGGCAGCTGCAGGGGGGCAGGTTAGGAAGCAAGGCTGAAAATACACCAGGTAGGGCAGGCTCCTTCCTCTGGCTCACTCTTGTCTGTTTTCCTTTGCTCCATTTTTCTCATCCCTTACCCTTCACCTTTTCCGGTTGGCTACACTGCCTGTCTTCCTATGTAATTATCCCTTTTCATCCATCTCCTTTCTCTTGGTCTCTCTTGACCTTCACTGGCAAGGACCAAGCCAGCCAACTTCTCATTTCAGTTTCCATCTTATACGGCTGCTCACCAGGGCTACTCCCTTCCACTCTTCCTTCTCCCCTCTTCCCTATTTCACTGTCTCTAGTTCAAACCCGGGCTGAGGGCCAGCCAGATAGCTCAGAGAACTAAAGCACCTGTTTAGGTAGAGCACAGCAACATGGGGTTTTGGGGTTTCAATCCCTGGTGTGCTGTGCTGGCCCTTGCCCCCAGGGTGCACTGAGAGGGCAACTGAGACTGGGTGTGGTGGTACGTGCCTGTAATCCCAGCGTTTGGGAGGCTGAAGACAGAATCACTACAAGCACGATCTCCACAGTGACATCCTGTAGACCCTGTCCTAAATACATTAAAAACTAAAAACTAAAAACTAAAAAAAAAAAACAAAAACAAAACCAGACTGGTCCTCAGCTTCAGGGCAGGGCAGAGCAGAAAGTGTCCACAGGAGCTCCCTACCCACCGCTTCTCCTGCCCGACCCCCTCTTCTCCTTTCCACACGGCTCACAAGGCAGCACTGGGGACTTAAGTATCTTGCAAAGGCTTTATTTGAAAATTTTGAAACTTACATCCCACAAGAATTCAAGATTATCACCACAAGAAGAAAGAGATAATACAAAAATATATATCACAGCATAGGAGCCAGGTAAGAGGGGAAGAAGGAAGGTAGAGACACTGGTGAGGAGAAGGGTGGGAGGCAAAGGGGAGGAAGGAGAGGGGGCAGGAGGGAGCCCGAGAGGAGGGCTGGCTGTGGAGGTGGGGCTCCTGAGGGCCTTGAACCAGCTGCTCCAGCCCTCGAGGCCGGGTGAAGGGAGGGAGGCCCAGGGAGGCTGGGGACCAGAGGACCTGCTCAGGGGCTCTCACATCCAGTGACACAGACACAGACAACCAGGACAGACAAGAGGGACTTGGAGGGAGTGAAGATGAACAGGAGTCCCTTTTCCATGTAGTACAGCAGGCGACGCCCAACACCCACCTCAGACAACAGAACTTAACAGTAGCCCTCACTACCCCATCCCCGTGGGGGAGCCCTAGGGTGACGCCAGCACGCTTGGAGTGGGATGGGATGTGAGGACAGTGAAGTCATGACACAAGACAGGATGGGGCATGACAGATGAGGGCACGAACAGCCGCCAGCTCCCCTCCCAGCCTCCTCGAGGGCACATGCAGGAGTCACAGAAACTAGACCAGTGATTGTCTATGAGGCAGAGCAAGTGCACCGCACCACGACTTCCTGCCAGAAATGCACAGTGAGGGGTATATGGATGGGGACCTTGCCACCGGGTGGCTGGGCTGAGCATGGAGTGTGTGCAGGCCAAAGAATGGAAAACGAGTGTGAGCATCAGTGAGCAAGGGGTGTGCAAGGGAAGAGGTGCAGAAGAGTGGCTGCCGAGAGCATGAGCATGTGCCATGGCCTGGGAGGGTGGAGGTGAATGTGCAAGGCTTTCATGTGAGTGTGCAAGGGGTGTGGGGACCCACAGTCACAAGTACGTAAAGCCCCCACTATAGGAGGGTGAGCAGGGGGCTTGCCCATGTGGCCAGGGAGTGTTCCGCGTGGTGTGCAAGGGCAGGAGCTGGAGCCCCATGGCCCCAGCTCCCCTTGGCTGCCCCACCCTCAGTGGGATGGCGCCTATGCTGGCCCCTTGGCCTCCTGCTTGGCAGCACCCCAACATGGGGGGCATCACAGATTCACCAGGGGAATCCTGAGAGGAAGAGGGAAAGGGCACAATCAGGACCCAAGGGGTGGACCACGTGGAGGGGAAGTCCGCAGCAGAAAAGGGACTGGAGGCTACAAGGGCAGAGCTAGAATTAAGGGCAGCAGGAAGATAGGTCAGAGCCTGAGACAGTGGGAGAAGAAGGGCCGCTGCAAAGGAGCTGGCCTGGCCATCTTGAAGGGTCTGAGTCCAGGCAAGGAGGGGAGCCAAGGGCTGTGGGGGCCATGCCACCCACCCCGGGAGTGCCCCACCCCAGCTCTGGAGACCTGGGGCCCTCCCCCTCCCATCCCATTGCCCCTGCCCTCACCGGTTCAACTGGAAGGCTGGAGCCCCCTTGGACTGGGGCATCCCAGGCCGGGCTCCCCCTCGGGGCTCTTCATGGTCAGGGGTGGGGGTAGGCGAGTCCCCGAAGGCCCCTAGAACAGTGACTCCAGCAGGGGACAGGTCAGTCAGTGGCTGCTGGCTCTCCTCCTGCCTCAGGGCCCCTTGCTGCCCGGAGGGCCTGCGCCGTTTCTGGCTGCGGTCCCAGCTGACACATGGAAGGAAAGACATCCTCTTGCACACACAGGCGGCCCCATCCTGGGCCCACAGCACCAGTCACCCAGCCTCCCCAGGCACTACCAATACCCTATCAAAGAGACACTGTACTACATCTGCTGGGACATAAACCAACAGACTCCATCAAACTACCTCATCACCCCTTATGTAGTTTGGGGGTCTAAACCATGCTCCCAGCCTGATTGGGCCCCACCAACTTAGTCCCCTAAAATTGCCCCTCCCCTATGCCCAGAAGAGCTGCTGCTCTCCTCCTTGGACCCTTGGTAAAGTCCATTCTACTTCAGGGTCAGCTAATGACGTAACAACCTGAGTCTAACAATCCTGTCCACAATGTGTGAAGGACTAAGTGTCCCAAAATTAAATATGTGCAAGGAACACTCCAGGTTTTTGCTCTCTTTTTTTTTTGCCTGCTTGCCTAAGAAGAGGCTCTGAAGCCTCAGTTATTCCTCTGTCTTGGAGGGATGTCTAGCAAAGGCCCCAGCATACAAAAATAATTGTCCCTCCCATTATCCTTGGATTCCCGGAGAGAAGAAATCTGAGCTGCTTTCTCACTGTCTTCCCCCACTTGAATCACTTTTCCAAAGGTCTTGCCCACTACTTCCTACCCCAATACCATGGAAGCTGCTGCCCATGTTCCCTCCCTGCTCCAGTTTTGCAAACACCCCAGCACCCTCCTTTTCACAGCTTACCAGAACTTGAAGATGATGCCAGTGGCAACGAGAACAATGATGACAGAGATGGTGATTGTGACGTAGAGCTGAGGGTCCACACCTGATGGGGTGGGGAGAAGTTGCAGGGGAGTGGGGTGGGTGGGGTTAGGCCAAGGAATACTGGCCCCAACAAGTTCTGCTGCTCCAGGGCTTCCATCCTTATCAACTGCTTTCCCCTGGGGTTCAACTCTTCCACTCCCCTAAAAGGTGGTTGTTTTTGGAGAACTGAGGATTGAACCCAGGGCCTTAACATTGAACTGCATCCCCTGCCCTTTTCCAAAATTTTGAGGCAGGGTCTTGATAAATCTCTTAAATTGAGGGGCCAGGGAGATGGCTCAGTAGAATAAGTGTTTGCCTGGCAAGCGCAAGAGCCTGAGTTTAAATCCCCGGTTCCGCCAAAAAAAAAAATCTGTTAAATTGCCCAGGTTGGGCTTGCACTTGGGACTGTTCTGCCTCAGCCTCCCAGGTACATATCACCATGTTCAGCTTCTCTCATATATACAAGTAATGAGGACAAGGTTCAGATCAGAGTTTGGAAAGAACCTAGTTTTGTGCTTAGAAGCTGGGGAGTGCTGGTGGGGCTGGCCCAGTCTCTGCCTTGGGCCCTGCCCCACCCACAGGCACTTCCAGAGCCTGGAGGTCACCCTGGCAGGCCCTTCCTCATGGTGCTCCTCTGCATACAATACTCTCTTTTCAAATGCCAGTTCCTGAGCTATCTTGATCCCTAAGGCCAAAGTCACCTCTTACTTATCTCTTCCCCTAAAAACAGGCCTTGCTTGCCTCTATGGGAGCTTTCCTCATCCCTGCCTGTGTGCACGTCTGCCTCCTCTGGTGGACCTGAGCTCCTCCAGGGCTCAGATGGCATCCTCATGTCTGCATCCAGGCCTGCACGGCCCCCACTTTGGCCCCCAGAATCTTTGCCAGCCTCTTCCCCTTCCTCAGACTCACCTTCTCCTCGGCCTCCAAACAGGAATGGCCTCAGTGTGGCGGGTGTCTCTCCAAGGATGAGCCCATTTCCATCATCCCGCATGGAGTCGGAGTTCGGGTGTGGGGTAGCTAGCCCATGGGGGGCTGCAAAACCATAGTCCAGGGGCAGAAATCCAGGATTGACAGAGTTGGGGTCCCCTCCATCCTCTCGAGACACAGTGGGACCCCACACAATAGCCCAGGGGTATTGGGATGAGGGTGGCCCCTCCTCAAAGCCCGATGGGGTGGCTGGGGGCGCAGTGCCGGGCAGGATTTGCCTCCGAGATCTTGGGACACGAGGGGATCGGCTTGGTGGCGGTGCCCGCTCCCACACACACACGTGGCGTGGGGCCGAGGGGCCGCCCCGGGCACAAGGGGGGCGGGCCGGGGCCGGTGGGGTCCGAGGGGAGGAGGAGCCCTGAGCAGGCCGTGGGAGGGGCAGCAGCAGCAACGGCCAGAGAGGGAGGAGGTGAGACCTCAGCAGAGCGGGCCTGCAAGGTAAGCGAGAGAGCAAGTGAGACCAGCCTGCCACCACCTCTGCGGGGAGGACACAGGCCCGGAGAAAGCCCCGTGCTACTTGTCTTCCTAGGCTGCACCCTCAGGTTGGTGTGCCTAGGTGGGCAAGGACCAAGCCCCCAGAAAGTGGTCTCCAAGCTCCCCCTGCTGGGCCAAACTTACCACATCCTGGACTCCTGGTCTGAGGTCTTCCTCAGCTGTGACCCAGATTTTCAGACTTTACTGCGGGAGAGAGAGGTCGTCACCCACCAACCCCCTCCTGGCTCCTTCCGTGACATCTCTAGGGCCACCTCCCCACCCTGGCTACACGGCATTGCAAGCCCTGTTGGCGTCACCCAGGATCTACTGCTTCGGAGCAGCTTTTAGGGAGAATTGCCCTGCGTGGTTCCCTGAGCACCCCAGCCCATCTACAACTTCCTGGGTCCCTGTTACCTCCCTACCCCTGCGTCTACTCCTGCTTCTCTGGCTTCCTTCTTACTTCCTCTGCCCACAGCTCCAGGCTTTTCTTGGATCTTAATTTAGAGCGAAGAACCTTGTGATTCCTTGAGCACCTACCGCTAGGGAGGGAGCTCGAGGGTGGAGGAGGGGGAGGCAGTCTGCGCCCGGCCTCCGGCCCTCCACCTGTCAGTGCCTGCGGTCTCAGGCATTACTGTTAGGATGGCCCCAGGAGCCCGCAGCTTCAGCAGAAGGAAGAGATGCAGGGATGAGGAGAGAAGAGGTGGGCAGGAGAATAACTGCAGATGTAATTTTTGCTCTTAATGTTTAATCATCCAAATGCATAGGTGCCCTCTGACAGGAGGTGGGTTGGGAAAATGCCACCCTCTCAAATGTCCCTCTCCCGGGGGAATGTGACTGGCTAGTTTTGAAGGCAGAGGGATGTGTGCTGAGAGCTGAGGGTGGTGGATCCAGGGCCAGGCTCCCCAGAGGAAACCACACACTGCCCAAATCTGCACCCCAGCACTCCCAGAGAACAACACAAGTCTGAGGAAGGGGACGGTCAGGAGTGAGAAAGCCAGGTGTGGTGGTGCATGCATGTAATCCCAGCAGCACTCTAAGAGGCTGAGGCAAGAGGAATGCCACGAATTTGAGACCAGCGTGGACTGCACAGTGAAAACCTGAACTACACAGGGAGATCCTGCCCCCAAAACCAGAATGAGGTGTTAAAAAAAAGGCAAGGGGCAGCCAGCCGCCCTGGGAGGAGAGAGAACGGAAAGAGGATGCAGAAGATAGAAAGGTAAGGGCGACAGGGGTGCAGGGGCAGAGGGCAGCAGAAGAGGAGAAGGGGCCAAGCAGCAGGAGGGTCGGAAGTGCAGAGAAGGGAAGGGAAAGGCAGAGAGGAGACGGTGCAGAGACAGGAGAGAGGAAGCGAGAGTCAGAACACGATTCTTAAGCCAAAAATGCAAGAAGGATAGAACTAGAGGATGAAAGATGGAGGAGTTCGGAACTGTGTCTCAGATTGAAAGGATTCGAGGGCAGCTCTGGGGGCGTGGAGAAAGGAGATGGAGAGGGGAACTGACAGCGCCGCTAAGGGGAGAAAGAGGCTAGAAGCGAGAGGGATGGGAGCTGGAACCAGTGGAGCGGGGAAGGGCCTCCGAGGACTCAGCGGCCAGCTGATACTAGGACCCCAGCCCTGAGCCTGGCGCGTCCCCACCCCATCACCCGCAGCCTTCCAGTCACCCCCTCCGGGAAGCCCGCAGTCCCCAGGCTGGCGCGCCGCCCCCACCCGCCCGCTCTCCACCGACCTGTTGTGCGCAGGAGACGGCGGGGGTGGGGTGGGAAGCAGGACTCACGGCGCAGCCCCCAATCCCGCCCATCCCGGACGGGGTTGGAGAGCTGCGGGAGGGGGATGACGAGATGGCGGGAGGTCAGGGGCTGGGAAAAGGGCAAGGGGACCCACGGCCAGCCAGAGCCGACCGCGGGATGCGGGCGGCGGAGACGCGCCTGCCGCATGGGGAGGGTGCGGCGGGCGTGGCGGGAGATACTCCGGGCGGAGCCCGCCGGTAGGGGCGCGGGCGCGCGGGGAGGCAGGGCCGGCGCGGGACCCCACTCACCTGCGTGCCTGGCGCGACGGCGCGAGGACTGCGGGCGCGCGGGGTGG